TCTGTCTGTCTGTCTGTCTGTCTGTCTGTCTGTCTGTCTGTCTGTATTTATGTATGTATGTATGTATGTATGTATGTATGTATGTATGTGTGTGTGTATATATGTATATATGTACATATGTATATATATATATATGTGTATATGTACATATATCTACATAGACTTATACAGCTCTATGTGACAGCTTCGGATCAGGATGTTTCTAAGGCGTTTATGACCGTTTGTTTTTGTTTGGGGGGCTGCCGGGGTTCCCTACACCCAAAACCCCTCCACCATGAGCTCTAAATCCCGCTTATACGGTCTACCCTAAACCCGAAACCCTCCCCCAAACCCAGTTCTAACTATGCAGGCCCCGATGATAAAATTCGTTCAAACGCCCATATCAAGCCTAAAGCTAAGCCTTCAGAAGAACCCGCAAAAGCTCGTAGTCTAACTTTTGCAGAGCCCTTTACAGGAAGCGTAAGCATATCACCCTAAACCCTAAACTCCCGAGCACTAAAAAGGTTTTGGGTTGAATACATAGAGACTTAGTTACCTATACTATTTTAGGGGTTCCTTATTTATAATTATTGCAAAATATAATCCCACAACCCTATTCTAATTATTAATGCCCCTATCGTAGGTTTTAGGACCCCTATCGTGCCCGTTTCTGCTAAATTCTCATAGGACTGCACGAGTTGCTGGTCTCCAAGCTGGCAGACCATGCAACTCCGCAGGCATTCAGGGTTACATCCGGGTTTTATCTAGTGGTCTTCTTTTTGTCAGGCTGTTTCTGAGGGTGTTGGTTGCAGGGATTTGCTTGTGTCAGTCTTCCTCCCTTGTTTGTCAACTTGTTCCTGCGGCATTAAGGCTCCCTAGGTTTAGGATTCGTTCGCTTGTTGTCGGCTTGTTTCTACGGCTTCTACATTTCTTCATAGGGTGGAGATATGAATAAGGTCTTTGCTCACCATTTTTGGTTTTTTACAGGCTTCCTAGAGCGCGTTTTGTGCGGTTTGGGATTAATGATCGTATAATATACCCCACAACCCTATTCTAATTATTAATGCCCCTATATTGGGGTTTTAGGACCCCAGTCGGTGTTTCGGGTCTGAGGATTTCCCTTTGCTGTTCTCGGAGGCCTGCTCTCTTGAACCCTAAACCCTAAACCCTAAACCCTAAACGAGTTTAGGGTTTAGGGTTTAGGTTTAGGGTTTGCCCCTTGGCAGTCCCAGAATAGCTGCAGCCGAGTCTACCCTAAAACCCTATTCTAACTATTCGGTCCCCATTAAACTTACACTCAAATCCTTATTCTGGGACCCTAAATCCGTCTACTGATGTGTCGAGCCCCTGTGTTGCGTACACCCTTTCTTGGGTCGTGTGGTTCTCGAGAAGGGGGCATGATGCGGTTTACTGTCTGGGGTTGAAGGGCGCGAGGGTTTAGGGTTTAAGGTAACTTACCCTAAGGGTCCAAAACCCAAATAGTAGGGTTTCAGGGTCCAAAAACCATTCAGAATATGGATGTTGGGTCTTAAAAACTTGCTATTTGGGTACTCGGACCGTCTGGGTTATGGTAGCTTAGGGTATCATCAACGAGGCCAAGGGAATCCTAAGCAGTGTTGCCTTGGATGGATGAGGGTGACGAGCTTCAAGCACCCCAACGGCAACCTTCAAGCCGTAAACCCGTGTCCCCAGACCCTAAACCCCGAAACCCTATAAAGCCTCTACGACTTCCCAAAGAAGAGAGATCATGAGAGTTCTGAGATTCCTAAACGTGAAGCAACTTAACCCCAAAACTTAAACCGCAGCCCTTTTGAAAGAACCAAAGGACTTTTTCTTGCGAAAACCCCTAGACACCCTCAAGCACCCTGAACTCCCAAACAGGCTCTCTTGGACTACTGCCCAGGAAACAGGTCACCCCCCAAAAAAAGTCACAAAAGCTCCTGAACCTAAAAACCCTAGACCCTAAAGCCCTAACCCTAAAACCCTAAAGCCCTAAAGCCCTAAACCCCGAAACTCTCAAAGCCTAAAGCCTCTAACCCCTAAACCCTCAAAGCCTAAAGCCCTAAACCCCGAAGCCCTAAAACCCCCAACAGCAGGGCCCTCGGGGCCTCGTCGCACGGTGCCTTTTGGACGCCTACCGCGCTGGCGCCTCGCCAGTTGCAGGCCTTGGCGTGGGCAGCTCATGTTTCATGTTACATATATACATATGTCTTGGTGTGCATTATTTTTTTAATATAACTGTATATTGATATGTGCATATATTTTTATGCATATACCTAGATGCTTGTATAAACGTATATATATATATATGTACTTACACACATATATATATATATATGTATATGCACATACACATGTATATGTATATGTATATACATATACACATATGCATACGTGTATGTGGATCTGTTTGCTTATTCATGCATTGACTGATGTTTTGTTCATTCATGCATGTATTTTCTAGTCATTCGTATATGCTCCTTTATTATGTTTGTGTGGTTGTTCATTTTGTTGCTGTTTGGAGTCTTTTACCACTTGTCAAACATGGTTTCGAGGAGTTTTGTTTTGTTTCGGAAGGTGTTGGAGTTTTGATTTTTGATTCGTTGTTTTGTTCTGGACTTTCATAGATCAAGTTTGGACAGCCATATCATGGGTTTCGGGGGAGTGTTGCAGGGTTTAGGGGTGGCTTAGGGGCCATAAAGAGGTCTGAATGTTTCGCGAAGGGGTTGCCTTATAGCCCCTATTGCTTATTAGACTTCATATGGAGGCCACAAACGGATTTCATGGAGTTCTATTGTTTTTCGTGCATCCTCTCTAGCCGCAATTGAAGCCCTAAGCCCTTGAACCCTGAATTATGCACCCTTAGCCCCTAAACCGCAGAGGCCTCAAACCCTATCACCCCAAATCCCTAAAACCCTAAACCCCATTTGGGTTGAGCAGGAGTTGCCGCTCTTATCATTGCAGATGACGGCAATGATGAGGGCTCCCAACTCCAAGGGGCCCTAATTCAGAGAACTACCCTAATACTGTTGATGACATACATCCTGCATTACCTTAAGGACCTTACACTATGGGAATTATGGCATCTTGCTTATTGTGGGTCCTGCCTCCTGAAATCCTCAAACCGGCACCCTCAGCACTGAACCTTTGAGTCCCTAGGTGGTATTTTTGAGACCCCTTAGACGGGACCCTTCCTACTCCTACTTCTGGCTCTCTTAAGATCGACTAAACCCTAAACCCTAAACCCTAAACTGTGCGAGGGTCTATATCCCCAACAAGGGTCCCCCTAATCCTGACTCTCATAGGCCGCTGACAAATCCCGAAGACACGCGTCGTAGAGGCTGTTACCAAACAAGATCAAGCGATAAGAAACCTGGAATGAACCTACGAGTCCATGTACTCATACAGCATATACATGGGCCCTAAAGTACCTATATAGGGACGACATTAAGGCCAAAGTATATACTATTTGGGTACATGGACCCTTACGGTTAAGCGCTAAGCACCTAGAGAACCTGGTTGCAGGATCCTTTCGTTCTAGGGCCCTATATGGAACCCTTGCCAACCCCTTGTACAACCTCATCGCACCCGAAGAAGCCCTACAAACCTTGTATGGAAACGCCTAGGGCCCAGAAGCCCGTGAGCCCCATATCACGTCTAGGGCTTATGGTTTCGGGTTTAGGGTTTAGGGTTTAGCCTTCTCACTTAC